GCTTTCTTGGAAAATTGTGATCCAAGACTTGAAACTTGACAGAAATAATCCTGAGGGTCCATAATGATCCATGAAAGTTATTTGAAACATTAGAAATCCAACTGCCTTTGTACAAAACTCAAACCCTAATTTGAGGCATCAGTGTTGAGAAGATTGTTTGACCTAGTCGATACTTGCGCAAGCTTGAGTCATTGAAGATCTTTGTAGGAAATATCTTGAGAAGTGAGAGGGAAAATTTTGGGGTACAACACATAACATATAAATGGGCAGTCTCAGTCAACACTGAAATAGTTTTCATCTTCCTAGTTCTCAAATCATATTCTAGTATAACAATCTTATTAAAGTCCATTTTATCGCAATATCCAAGGCTCTCCGAAATTGGGTAACCTAAATATTTTAAACCACTCTACACTTCAAAATAACTCAAGTAATCAGGATCAATATCCCAAACCTCCTCAAACCCTTTGTAACATAACTTGGTAAACTCAAACCTCCTCCCCCATGATGTGCAATACACTCAAATCTCCTATCGATAATCTATTCAAGCTAAATAGTGTAGAAGAGGCAGTAAGGAAGATTGATAAATAAAAAAAGTTTACATTTTTAGCAAGTTAGAGTTGAGTATTCATACCTTTTGAAGAAATACTAATATAGTGAAGTCTTCAAACATGAGGAAGATGAATAATGAAATCTCCACTTTGAATGCAATTCGTTTCTCTTCAGCTCTTCAGATTCTGAGTTTTGTCTCCTCTTCAAAAGCAGTTAAAATGAAAAGACATAGGGCTTGTGTTTAGAAGTGAAAATGAAAAGATCTAGGGCTTGCAATATTTCAGCTTAATGAATACAATGTTTCCTCTTCTCTTGTTAATTGATATTTAATGAAAGAAATATCCCATGTCAATTAAAATAATGTCAACCAAACAAATACTAGCTGAAGTGTGACATATATACAACTTAACTATTTTTTATTATAAAACCTAATTTGAGAGTCTTAAACTAAACGTTTATGTTTATTAAATAAGAGACAAAATTAAATCTAAAGTTAAGTTAAGGGACAAAAAATGTATTAAGCCAAGAAAATAGTATTCTCAAATAGGTTTCTTGATATCTTTGCAACCAAAATCACAACAATGTGTTCATTCTTAAGGTCAATGTACGTTCTTTCTCTTTCGTGTCCCAATATGTTTCTTTCACTTTGATTTTATGCTCAGCATCTTCCTTCCTTCATTGACAATGTTGACGATGATGTTTCCTTATTCAATAACATCTTGTATACGAAACATAACCCACCCACCATTGAATTTAACAAGATATTAGGTTCCCTTGTTAAGGTTCTGGTGGATTCCAGAGCTTATCTGTCAGGTTTTGCGCTTGCAACTCTGTGTTTTATTCTAGATTTAGCGTTTGCTAATCTTTAGGATTTTCGTTTGTGTCGGCTTTTTCTATTCCTAATACCTACATTTTCTTTCTTCGTCGATTCTACGTTCAAGTTTTGCCTTCATTTATTAACAAAGTTGACGATCCTATTTCCTTATTCAATCTGGTACACTCTTTTATTCTCAATACCCCCATTTTATTTCTTTGTCGATTCTACGTTCAAGCTTTGCCTTCATTCTTTGACAATGTTGACGAAGTCATTTCCTCATTCAAACTGGTACACTCTTCTATTTCCAGTACCCCCATTTTCTTTCTTTGTCGATTCTACGTTCAAGCTTTTCCTTCATTCTTTGATAATGTTGACGAAGCCATTTCCTCAATCAATCTCATCCTGTATATGAACCCTACCCCACCTATTATTGAGACAAAACCTTAGAATTTTATTTTAATCCTTGCAAATAAAATTGTTAGATTTTTTTTATAATTTGTGTATAAAAAATTTACATTGTCAGTGTATCATAACTATTTATATGTGGTATTTTATAAAAATTGTTTAAGAGTGTAAAATATTTTAAATATGGATATATATATATATATATATATATATATATATATATATATATATATATATATATATGTATAAAAGTTAAATTATAATAATAATTTACATCTTTTATTTATTTTTCAAAAATAAAACTATTACTCTTTATTTTGAGGTTAAACGAATACCCAGTGCGTTCGTACGGGTACTGTGGTATGTAGAATTGTCACTAGTTATTTGTAAATTATAAAAATAAAATGGAAAATAAAATTAAAATTAAATGGAAGGAAGACAAATGTAAATAAAAATGGTAATGATTAAGAAGACAAATTAGAATCGTAACCAATTATTTGCGATATTGTAGTGATTAGCCGGGAAAAACGGTAATGCTAACAAGATCGATTAAAGATCATTATTGTTAAAAACAATACATCAACATATTAGAATTAATTAACTTTATATACATGACATTTGTTGTTTGTGGAAGTAACATCAAATTTAAACCGAATTTTGTCACCAGATTTGAACATAATGGATTCACATAAATCGCTCCATTCATATGCTAATATAGTGTGATATGGGTTATTAGTGTTCAATAAAGTAAGTATCTTTGTTTTTCCGTTATCACCACACAACATAAGAAATTGATAGTTATAATCCTTTAAAATTATTGCAAAGTCTACGTGCAATTTCTATCAAATAATAGTGGAATTAATTGCGTCATCTTAGAAAAAAAATAGATTAAATGAAAATGAAAAAAGATAGAGAAACTCAACTAATTTTGGTAGTGCCACACTAATAGGTGTCAGAGTAATTTCAAATGAAAAAAATGTCTTTGTGGTAATTGTTCAAGATTGAACAATTATTTAAAATTGTTGATTCCGAAATTGTTGTTAACATAATAGCTGACTTCAACAACAACATCAAGTGGTAAATTGTAGAACTCCTCAACATCTTTCCATCCACTGATTATAAGTGGATAATCTTGATCTTTGTCATAGATTATAACATGATTGACACCTTGGTTTTTCAATGTGGTCCATGTTTTTGTTATGTTATTTTCATAGTGACAAAAAAAGAAGGATCAATTTCAGCAAACATTTGCGCACAAAATTTTTTATAGTAGTAATATAAAGTTTATAGATTATTAAAAAAAATTCAATTTTTTTTATAGTAATATATAAAAAAAATTATCCGTGAAGATAGTTTAGCAATTGAGAAGGAGTAAATCATGACGTTGTGAATAAGAATTTTGGTCACTTTCATTTTTGAATTGTGAGACTGGTTGCAAGAAGATAAGGAAAAATGCAATGTTACTAGTATGTGTTGGTAACAGACAGAGGATATTTACTTATAAGAATAATGTTAAGAATCACGTCAGAGTAGATGACTTGTTAATAAAATAAAATACATCAAACAAAATAATGCAACATGGACCACCTTCTTCTTTTACTTTAGCATACTGAAGTAAAATGACTACTGACAAGGAAGAATCAATCTGTTGTTCGTTAAACTTGATAAATTGTATTACGTACGCTTTCAAGAGGGTAAGCTTAGTGTGAACTTAGGAAGAAAAAAACACACCCCAAGTCTCGCAAGACCAAGTTAACATACTGCTTCTTACCACCAACCAGACCTAGTGTGTAGCCTATTTCATCTACAATTTTGATTATCTCTGGGAAAATGGTGGTAATATGAAGTGGATGAAGATAATACATAAAGACAATCGTTGAAGAAAGAAATATATAGTGTTACCTATAAGAACATATTTTTTCCACCTGCAAGTTATAATAACAACTAAAGGAGTTAATTTTATTTCCTTGTTGGTTATTTGATGTTTGTTTTTATCACCGACTGTGGTGCCTCCAATGAATTTAATGATATATTTGTGGGGTGAAGGTTTGAAAATCAAATTATTAACTTGAACTTGGAAGTTCGTAATCGTGTAAGTGTCGTTTACAGCTAAAAGGGAATCAAATGTCTGCCTATACATTGGGGGTACAATGACATGTATATCACACCCATGTCAAGGAAAAGCCACCGAAAATAGTTAGATAACAAAAAATGGCTATAATATTTCATTATGATGTCGACAATATTGCTACAAAGATATACAATATTGTTAACCAAAGACCTAAACATATAGAAAAAAACAGCAAGAAATTAAATGTATACAACACTGTTTAACAGTCAAAATAAAATACTATTTTGTCTACGTCATTGTTTAAGAAAAATATCACAACAAAAAAGAAAATCAACGTACATATTTATACCATGAATATGTGTAAAACCATGGCAAAACATGGGAACAACATTTGTATTTGGAAAATACATGATATATAACATAAAGCGACACATATTTTAACATGCTATAACATCAAAATAAAGCGATGATATAAAACTATGATGACTTTGACAAAACGTAAAGATCTTCAACATGGTTTATGTGAAAACTAGAGCAACAAAGAACCAAAAACAAAATTCGGGAAAAAAGGATTGTCTGAACAAACTTATCTCCTTGTCATAGACGATCATGTCAAAGTGCTCCTTAGTGTTGGTTATCACATTTCATCTATGGTGGACTTTTACTGTAACTTTCTAAAACTCCTTCTTGTCGTTGATGTCTGCAACTTTTTTAAATAGTCTTGTTATGAAAATCGGAAGGAAAACACAACTGAAGGAGAAATTTATAAGAGAAAGGTTATGGATGTTTACAGTCCAAATGAAAATGTGAAAAAAATATGGAGTTCGAAAAAGAAAAGAGAGTGTAATGATGGTGTTGGGAGAAGTAGTGGATATAAATAGAAGAGAGACAAATAGTTACCATTAAAAACCCAAAAGTTGACATTGGCAGAAAAGCAATGCAAGATCAAAACCAAATCTAAATTTTAGAAGAAAATAATAGTAGTTATATTATATTTGGACGAATTGTCAAAAATAGTTAGAAAAAGCATTTTTAAGTTAACATTTTAACCCCCAAAATAAAGAGGTGTTGGGTTTTCAGTAAGGGATATTAGAAGATAGATTAACAAAGTTGTTCACAATTTCGCCATTATTGTCTATCTTCCAAGTTGAAGAAGCAATGTCTCTGTTGAGATTAAGGTACGCTCTCTCTCTTCAGTCTTCCAACTTGTTTGTTATTCGATTCTTCTCTCACAGTCACAACCCTGTTGCTGTTGATGATGCTGTTTTCTCATTCAATCGCATGCTCAATACAAACCCTACCCCTCCCATCTTTGAATTCGGTAAGATACTATCTTCCCTTGTTAAGATCCAACATTTTCAAACTGCTATTTCCCTTTCTCAACAAATGCAACTTCGACGAATTCGAACCGACATTGTTAATTTGAACATCTTGATTAACTGTTTCTGTCACCTTCATCAACTCAATTTTGCATTTTCTGTATTCGCCAACATTCTCAAGCTAGGTTTTCACCCTGATACCATAACAATTACTACACTCATCAGAGGTCTCTGTGACAGTGGCAAGCTTCACAAAGCCCTTCACTTTCACGATGACGTTATAGCTAATGGGTTTCAACTTAATCATGTTAGTTATGGAACCTTGATCAGTGGTTTATGTAAAATAGGAGAAACAAAAGCTGCTATGCAGGTTCTTAACAAGATTGAAGGGTCGTTGGTTAAGCCGGACGTGGTAATGTACAACACAATCATTGATAGTTTGGGAAAGGATAAACTTGTGAATGATGCCTTTAATTTATATTCTGAAATGATTGTCAAAGGAATTTCTCCTGATGTTATTACTTATACTACTTTAGTAAACAGCCTTTGCATTGTCGGTCACTTGAAAGAAGCAATTGCTTTGTTAAATGAAATGTTGAAAAGTATCATCCCGAATGTTTGTATTTTTAGCACACTCATTGATGGTTTATGTAAGGAATGAGAGGTTGAAAAAGGTAGAGATGTGTTGGCTGTTATGATAAAACAAGGCTTGAAACCTGATGTTGTTACTTATACTTCTTTGATGGATGGATATTTCTTGGTTAAAGAAGTGAACAAGGCTAAACACGTATTCAACTCTTTTGTTCGAAGAGGAGTTGAACCTAATATTCACAGCTACAATGTCATGATTGATGGATTATGTAAGATTAGAATGGTGGATGAAGCTGTCAGTCTCTTCAAAGAAATGCATTTGAAAAACATGGCTCCTAATACTATAACATACAATTCGCTTATTGATGGACTTTGCAAATCGGGGAGAACTTGTGATGTTTGGGATCTGATAGATGAGATGCATGATAGAGGTCAACCATTTGACGTGTTCACCTACAATATCTTATTAGATGCTTTGTGCAAAAGCCATAATCTTGACAAGGCAATAGCATTATTTACAAAGTTCAAACACCCGGGAATTAAGCCAAATGTGTACACATACACAATATTAATTTACGGTTTGTGCAAATGTGGAAGACTTAAGGACGCACAAGAGGTTTTTAGGATACTTCTGTCGAATGGCTATCATTTAATTGTTACGTCGTACACTGCAATGATTAATGGATTTTGTAAAGAGGGCTTGATTGATGAAGCATTGACCTTACTGTCAAAAATGGAAGACAATGGTTGCATTCCGAATGTTGTAACTTATGAAATTATTATTCGTGCTTTGTTCAAAAGTGGAAAGAATCTTATGGCTGTGAAACTTCTCTGTGAAATGATTGATAAAGGTCTAATGTAAGAGTTAAATTAGGTGAGTTGCTTTCTAGTTACAATTTGTTATTTTGAATTTGAATACAACCATCCATCTTCTTGATTTCTCTTTCATTGCAGGACCGTTAGTATCAAAATTCTTCAACCAGTTCTAAGCCTACCAAAGATTGAAGAGAAAATTTCTGATAAAGAAAGTAAGTAATAACTAACTCTTCAAGTATTAATTTTTTTACTATTACCCTGTAGAATGTATTTAGAGATCACAAGTTATATACATGACTAGGATGTGTAAGAACTGAGAAGAATTAAGGTTGCAACAAGTAAGACATGTGCACTCCCTCTCCTGCTCTCTCATTAAACATAAACCCTCTCATTCATGTGAATACTCTTCTGCACATTAAATACAATTCACCTACTCATCTCAGCATGACACTGCCTATCCACATCTTTTACATTTCTTCCTACCTAATATATAACTTAGACTCTTCAATTCATTGCTTTTCCCTCATCTTATACTTTCAACACCACCATGTCAATATCACTCCTTTTCCTCTACATTCTCTTCTTCCCTTCCTACACGACTCTCCCTAATCCCATTCTCCCAACACCATCATCTCATCCAACAACATTAACTATCCCTTCATTCCAAGAACAATCTTATGTTAAAGGCTGTCCTTTATCTCTCTCAAATGAACTTTTCAATGGCATAAAAAATGCATGTAGTTCGTCAAAACACAGTAAACTCGACCGTAGCCAATGTTGTCCCGTTCTTGCAGCATGGTTGTATTCTTCCTACTCTGCCACCGCTCTTAGAAACCACCCATCACTGTCGTCATCATCATTTGACATGCCTTTGGTGCCAGATGATTCAGAAACATGTGTGGATGGTTTGGAAAAGGCTTTGAAAGTTAGAGGAATTGAGATTGTAAATCCAAATGAGAGTTGTGATTTGGTGTATTGTTATTGTGGAATTAGGCTGCATCCTTTTAACTGTCCTGATTCATTTTCTGTAACCAAAAGAGGGGAGCTTGTTGGAGATCAAAGTGTTAGAAAGATGGAAAAGAGTTGTTTGAGTAGTGACAAAAACGTCAATGGCTTTCAAGGTCTTGAAGGGTGTTCTAAGTGCTTGAATAGTCTCTATTTGGTGAGTTTTTACAAAGTTTAGAAAAATATATATATTTATATTCTAATGGTATATTCTGTGTTCTTTGCTTGGTTTTGGTCATGTTTGGATGAGCAACTTAATTAGCCGCTTAAAACATAAGTAGTATGCTTTATGAACTTGCTTGTATTATCTTATTTGAGTTAATCTAATAGCACAAATATTTGTATTATCTTGTGATATGTTCTTAACTCAAGTTGTTTTTAACTTATTTTCATAACCTCACTACAATAGTTTATTTATAACTTTATAAAAATAGTTTGATTTTATTTTATCTTTTGTTATAGAAGTAGTTTATGCATCAACACTTAAATGATAAACACTTAACTAAGTTGTTCATCAAAAATATTGTATGATGGTAGCTTTTTTAAGATTTTGATGAATGCTTTGGAGCTGTGTTGTTCATAGATTACTGGTAAATTTTAATATCATTCAATGAAGTTCTTAAATAAACTAATATTGCCACTTATAAGCACATGCATTGTCACTGTCTAAGTACAAAAGAATAAATTGAGTTTTTGGTGTCTACATATGGAGAGGACAGTTGAGAGCTAAATGAACTCACCAATCACTTTTGTTAACTCTTTCTCTTTTGATAACTTTGGTTGCAAATTAATTTCATAGAAAATTTCCGGTTAAATATAAATAATTGCTTAGTGTCGCACACATAAACCTTTGATTATCATGCCTCGAATTTATATGCCACTTTTGTAATGTGATTTTTGAATTGAAATATTACTTTTGATTACAGCTTAACAAAAAGGCTTCAAATTCAAGCAAAGACAGGATCACAAAGATTCACAACAAAGATTGCGAGCTAATGGGCTTGACATGGCTTCTGTCGAAGAATCAGACAGCTTATATACACACGGTTACCGACGTTCTTCGTACTTTATTGTTGAACAATGATGGATCTAAGCCAAAATCATGCACTCTTAATAGTAATGGAATGCCTCTAGCCGTTGATTCATCTGAAATCATAAATGAGCAATCTTCTTCAACCAACCTCCAAACACCTATGTCTCTTTCTTTGTTATTAGTACTTTGTTTGGTACTATGTGAGCATGATTTTGTGCTATTCTCTTAACTAACACCTTCATCATGATTACTATGTGTTGATAGGGACAAGATATTTATGAACTTTATCTTCATATCATGTATGTTCTATGTCTACACTTAATGTGGGAGGTGGTAGATATTTGTTGCTATTACAACAATTATTTCAAGGACAAAGATTTGTCACAAGTTCAGCATGAAGAGAATAGAATTTAGAAAATTTGATAAAATAAAGAAAAAAAATTAAAGGAATTAAGAAGTTAATGACATTTTGTCCATATTTTATTTATGGAAGATTACGAAAAGGAACAGTGGATCCAAGCATAAATAATTGAGAACGATAGCTAACTTTATGTCATATGTTAAAGTTGGATTAAATTATGGCAATTGGAATTTAATTGGAAGATAAAAAATGTTAAAAATTGGCATTTAAAAATAAAACACGATGTTTTCAAACAAAAAAGCACTTTTTTATAGATTACAGAATCTTAATTATTTCTAAAAATTTATATTGATTTTAAAGTTCAAACAGAATAATTTTGTATATATAAAAAAAAAGACAAGTGTTTGAATTTAAATAAACATATTTTTGGAATTTTGAGGAGTGTGAAGAAAATAATTTCACAATTAGTATATTGGGAAATGTTCGTTCCACTTTTAAGGGTGCGTTCCATATTTCTCGAAATTCAATATATTTTTTTTTTATGTATTTAGAGATACATCTTCGGATGCACCTAAAGTCAAATTTACTTTTGTCTTTTTGGTATCTATTCCATTTTAAATAAAATATGATTTAGAGATATGTCTCTGTATATTATTTGGATGTATTCGGAGATACATATATGAAATACTCTCAGAAGTCATTTAAAGGTATATGACAAGAGATATTTCGAAGATACATATCTAGAAATCCCCTAGATTGAAATTTCAATGGTATATTTCAAGGCAAGCAACATTGAATTTTTTTTAGACCAACTCATATTTTAGGTGATTTTAGACCATAAATTAAAAAATTGATATACTAATTAATTCAAGCATGCATTAAAAGAGCCAACCATTAATTAAAGTAAAATCAGAATGTAAAATAAATATATAAATTGTTCAGAAAATACAAAAAAATACAAATAAACATAAACTGTTGGGCCTGTCTAACTCTGCAGTTTCTCCTTCATATGTATTGTAAGGTATTTCATGAAGACCTCTCGTGGCCTCGTTAAGTAGAGGCCTGAGACTGACGACTATGAGAAGCAGAACCAAATGGTTGGCAACCTCGGTATTGTGAACCATCAAATGAGGTATCATCAACTTGTGGCCTCGTGGTCCTGCCAACTACCCTCTCACGTCGTACATACGAGATTTAGAACACACGACCGGGTCTAATTCTACCAGGATTATTTTAGCCATCGCACATGCGTTAAAACCAGGTAGTCAAATAAAAAATTCAACCAAAATTCTGCTAGGTTCAAATCTAGAGACATGTCTCCAAAAATAGTTCAGACAGAATACCGAGATGCATCTCCGGACAAATCTGTGATCTTCAACCATTGATAGAAACACTATTACTGCCGTAAACTCCTAACAAATTTCAATGCATGTCCATTTAGGCTATCTATTTTGATTGCACGTTATCTAATGTTGCTTAAACAACTTATGTTTCCTAAAATATCATTCAAAACACAAAAAATGAATGATTTTTAAAAAACTTACTAAATCTAAGTTGTGGACGAGAAGCTTGAATGGAGTGAGAAGCTTTGCAACAAATGAAGTAGAATGGAGTGACAAGCTTGAATGACTGAGGAAGAGCACCAGTTAGGTTTTTTCAGGTTGAGTAAGTTTTCAAAAAATTAAAGAGAAAGAGGGAAGGTTATGGTGCGGGTTAATGTATGCAGAGATGCATCTCTGTACCACTTACTAAATTTTGAATTAATGATGTTTGTGGAGATTCATATCCAGATTGACCATAAACACATACATAGATGTATTTCCAGACTAAATTTTGGCAAACAAAGGGCTTCACATCAATTTGCACTAAAGAGTGTGTAAAAAAAAGTTTGTCCGAAGATACATCTCCGAATGCTAGGGACAATTGAGACTTTTCACGTTGGTGAGGGAGCACCCCTAAGGGTGAAAAAAGTAACCCCGTAAAATTTTTAGGTGTGTTTTGAAATTCTTGTTTTGACTGGATTGTAGTTCTATTGGACCTTCACTTTTTTTGGGGCTGTAATTTTCAAAAATATCCCTTTCACTTTTTTCATTAATAAATTATTGGAAAATTTTCTCTCGTGCGAAAAAATATGGTTGGCAAAACAAAAAAATCTGATATGCATTTTTACTACTATTTTAAAAAAATTCACTGCTTGACAAATTTTACCGGATTTTGAAATAACTGCTATAAAGTATAGGTGCACTGAATTTTTGAAAATTTTGATAGACTATCTTTTTAATAATCATTTTAAAAGATGAAGTTAATGAAGGTGCAAGAAACACAAGAAAATGGAGTTTGAATTGAGTTTCTAGAAATAAAATCTTTTCGAAACCAACCAGAAGAAGTTAACACAAGAACAAAAATAAATGAACACAATTATTTTTATCATGATTCACTGTTAACGAAGTTAATCCTGTCTTTCCACCAAGGTGATTTTCCTTTCTCAATCAAGGACTTAATCCACTATAACCAAACTGATTATAATCCACAAAGACAAACTGTTAATGTCTTCTTGAGAATCCTGACTAAATCCGTAGTCTCTCAAGGAATAACACCTTAGAGACAAATTGTCAATGACTTCTTGAGTAATCATACTAACACTTAG